GCCCCCCCAGGCTCGGGGCCCCCAGGGCCGCCGTCGCCGCCACGACCGACCCCGTTGCTGCTTAACTCTTGGCCTACCGGAGACACCCTCCGGCCGACCACCCGGCCCCGCCCGCCCCCCGCAGCCGCGAAAAGGTCTTCCACGACAGGGTCCCCCCCGTCGCCCGCCATGGCCGCTGCGGCGGTGCCGCCCGAAGCGCCCACGGCCCTCATGAGCCTCTGGATCAGGTGCGGCGGGACTCCTTCTTTCAGCGCTGCAGCGGCGAACGCCGCCGAGGGCACGACATCGCCGTTTCTGCCGACCCCTACCGGAGGCGGGGGGAGCGGTTCACCGGCGCCGCCTTGCTCGCTTCCGTGTCCGACCGCCGGTCTGCTTGGTTCATTGCCGGGCCATGGCTGGCGATCGAGCGCCGGTCTGCTTGGTTTATTGCCGGGCCACGGCTGACGATCGTTGTCGTCGACACGGGTAGCGGCGCCACCCCCGTTGTCGTCGTCATGAAGATATCCGTTGCTGACCGGCGGTGGCTCGCGCCGCTGCCGTTGGCTAGGGCGTGCGGCAGACGGCAAGAGATCTGGCTGCCGCCGCCACCGCTGCTGCCCGCCTTCTTCCTGCTCCTCGTCGACGTAACCTCCGTCCGCGGGAAGCGCCAAGAAATCCTGCTCCTTCGGGAGAAATATCTTCGTCGGTAGCCGCTTCAGCCTCGTCTTCATGTAGGACCAATCCCGGTTGGGAAACAGGGACATGTTCCTGCGGCGCGGCGCCAAGAAGGGACTGTTGGTTACACGGTGACGGCGAAGGCAGGCCGCGGCACAAGCGTCATCAGCCACGCCACGCCATATTCTTTCAAACAGGAACAAAATGCTGCAGGTCGGCCGGGGGCGAGGGCTGTTCGCCGTTTACAAGCGGAGACAACCTGACGCTAAATGTGGACATGTGCCATTCCCCGCCCGGCGATCAACGGACCCCCACACCCCCCCCCTGAGAATCATCTGCCCCCGCTTTCCCCTTGACTAGCTTATGGCTCCGAGTTCACCGCACGCCTCCAACAACACCATCTCGGAAATCAACACCTCGAGGCGTAAGGTCGCCTCGGCACACACCCGGAGGTTGTTTGTCGATCTCACATGTTTTCCGAGAAGGGCTGCTTGTATCCGCTCTTGTGCTCGATGTGCCACGTCTTGGGCTCCCTCTCGTCGCCGCCGCTTTTTCTCTCGCTTTCCGCGATCTTTCCAAGCACGGCAGAGCAAACAGCGACACCCAGACGCGCATGTCAAGCCCAGGCAATACGGAAAGGAGACAGCCGCAACAGCACAGAGTGCAACCATAATCGACAAGCGAGCGCGAATACCGGACTACAGCAGCAACACGCCAAGTGAGACATGCGACACAACTCATGCCCCCCCCAAAAGGGTGTACGTAAAACGAAAAAAACAAAAAAATGTTTCTTGGAGCGCGGCACTTTCCGAATGCCACGCCACGCCTGCCCCTCTACGCAAACCGAACCAACCGCCTCCCGGACACACAGAGAAGAGTACATTCAACGATAGAGGTGTCGAAACGAGCGCGGCTTCCGCGCGACAGGCGACCTCTCTCTCTGTCTCTCCGACGCGCATACAGAGAGAAATGCCGCGCACCCTTCCCCTCCGGACCGTCTTCGTGATAAATAAAGCGTACGAGGATACACACCAGGGAGGGGGGTACGCGGACTCTTTTCCTAACGGTAACCCTAACCCAAACTTCCCCGATCGCCTTCTTTATCCAGCATGTTTGCCACATAGATAACAGATGAGCCCTGCGAAGGGCGCTGCCCCTCTCTCTCACCTCCACCTTGAAGACGCCCAGCAAGAGATTTAGGATCACTTTGGTCGCCGGCGTGATGCCCTTCCCCGCGGTGTTTATCACCACGTCCCCGTTCGACCACACCTGCCCGCAGCCCGAGGCATACGCGGGAGGGGGGGGTGTTGCCGGAAGTAGGCAAAAACAGTGCTTGGGCGAACGAGTGTGTGTTCGTCCCGTGTATTCTGGCGCCAGTCTATGCATACTACGCACCGTTCGGGTTTTCACATGGTTACACCGGCCTACCTTACCGTGACATTGACTTGGTGAACGATTCGTGAGCCGCAGGCTAGCGATAGCAACATGCCATGTCTACACAGAGGTATGTAGAGATCAATGTGGCTGTCTCTCCGACGACCGCGACTCAGTCGGGGGCCCCGTGAGATGATAACCTTGTTGTTCTGCGAAGGGTCACCACGCGCGAAGCGACCAATGACACAGCAGCAGAAGTGGCCTCTACTATATAGATAGAAACTTGCGGTGCCATGACCGACTGCAACAACCGCGCTACTGCTCTACAGAACCGACGAAGCAAGAACTGCAGGGACTTGGGTCACAGCAGCTACTGATTGCGCGATCTGCAGTACCATAGGTGCTCAGGCAGGGATCCGGTTGCATCTCGCCCTTATGGAGACACCTCATGTGATATATCTCGAACGGACCTCCGGCGATGCGACCTGTAGGACGATACCAACACAGCGCAGCGCACATACCCGCGCCACCCTCGTACAGCTGCGCCACAAACCAACCTAACTTACGTTTGTCAAAGCAAGAAAACAAGCAGCTTGTCTCTCAGCAACCCGTGCCATCCACCCAGCAGCAAAGCGCTACCTACACCCACACGGCGCTGCCGGACACACACATTTCCGGAGATCGCATGCGCACCTTAGCCATGTCTGCCGCATCGATGGTCGCCGTGAGCTTCTCCCGCACTCCGCCCTTCCGCGGCTCCACGCTCCACGAATACGTCGCGATGGCAGTGGAGGGAGGTCTTCTCCGCTTCGGCGCGGGTACAACGCCTCGCCGCGACCCCTCCATGCCTCTTCCACCACCCCCCGTGCCGCTTCCGCCACGAGATGCCCCGCCTACTCTATAGACGTTACCGCTGCCGGCAGTATCTCTCTCGACATGCCGTCCGTCTTGCATCGTCATCATCCTCACGTGCTGGTGCCCCCCTACCGCCGCCATGTGGAACGGTGCGACAGGAGACATGGTGACGGTAGGTTCTCTAGTAGCGACGGTACTTGTGCTCCTCCGCTCAAGATAGCCTCTCGTAGCGCCACCGCCGCCGCCACGGTCTTGGCCGATTGTCTCGCGAGGAAGCGAGTGCTGTCGGTGGTCCCCTTGCCGCTGCTGGTGGGGACCCCGATCAGTCGGTGAGATACCACTACCGGTGCCAACGTCACTGTCGTTGTTATTGTTGTTGTTGTAGCCGATGTCGGTGTTGTCGCTTGTCCCGTTGCCGGCACGCCTGGCGATCGACATTCCACAGCCGCCGCCATCGCTGCCGCCCTGTGCCATCAACTCGGCCGTCGCTTGGACGGTCGTAGTCTGCGGGGCCCCCCGAGGCAGGCCAGGCCCTGAAACAGCCCCTCCTCCGTCAGGCACGAGAGGTTCTGATGGTTATGGGAGTGATGGTTCGCGAACGATACGTGTGTGGCCATGACCGTGGTGCGGAAGGGGTCAGGGGGTGACACAAGTTTGGCGATCGGGATCCGCGACATGTCGACAAATCCATATCGAGCGACGGCGGCGAGGTGATTAGCCCGCACATTGTAACAGTCGCGTGGAACTTTGCGAACGGAGGAATGTCTACTGCTACTCATGGATGCCATGACTGCTGCCGTGGGAGAGCGATTGAACGAAATGTCAAACAAAGTCGAGAGTTCCGAATTTTCAGGAGCGAGCGTGTAAAAATCCTTGCCATGCAGTTGTTCCGCATCAGCACGCTTTCGTGTTTTCATCCGATTACTCGAAAGTGATGCTGCGGCTTGTTTCCTGTAGGAGTCAAACATGCAGGGTGGGCGCAACCCTTTGATTTGTCGAGTACAGCAGTACTTCCCTTGCTTGAAAGAGGTATGTCGTACATCTTATCCAGGTGTTATTGACATGTTGAGATTTACATGTAGGAACTTTTGCAATAGCCGTAGGCCTGAATGGCATCAAGTTAGATATCGAGTATATGCAGGAGGAGATGTGTGTGACTGGAAGAGGACAGGGCGAAAGTCAGTCACTCCAAAAAATGTCCAACGCGCGTGAGGCATCCATGAGCATAAGGGCTTCAATCTCACCGTGGTGCCCACTGCCGCCTGCTGCAGTGTTGACCTGCTTGTCCGCTTGGTCTCGCTTCTACAATAGTAGCATGGTCGTGTCAAACATGAGGCAACAACGAGGTCGACGACCAAACAGAGAGAGAGAAAGAGACAGACAGAGAGAGAGAGAAGTTCAGGAATATTACATTTCTTTGGAAAGAAAATCACGTGGCACGTTCCGCGTTAATTTGTGCATCATATCAGCGACTAGGCTAGGAGCGGCTCAAGGAATACCGAACCTCGCCGTGGCCGGTGGCAACCCTCGAGGATACACTGGCGGGCGCACACAGATCCAACATGGATTAGCGTCATTTACTCTGCTACAGGTTATTGGCGACCGCTTGTATGTGGGAACAAAACTCCGATTATCACCGACCGTCAAGCGTAGACTCATATTTACACCAGCAACATGCTCACACCGACCCACTCTTGGGCTTGTAGGGAGACAGACGAGAGGCGAGAGACGAGAGACGAGCACCTTGCACCCAACTGGTATCTTCAAGTGTTCCTATGGGTAGACTATTAGTCCCATCTATTACTCACGGCAGTATTGGGGCGAAAGCACAAGGGCGGAAAAGATACAACCGACCACCCACACATATTTCTAACCATAGGACGAACTGCTGTGCGACGTACGGACACAATGATCTCGGCAACTGGGCTCAAGATCAAAGAACGTTGCAGGCACAGCAGTAGGCGAGTAGCATACAGCGATACCCCCGATGGACGGAAGTCTGCGTTGGATCCATACTTGGAGTGGTAATTTGACGGGAAGCTGCGGAAGATAACGAAACACACACCGCAGTGCCCGGCCGCCTCACGAGAAAAATTGATCAAGAAATTGCGCCCAGCCGCCGGTACCACCCTACACCCTACTGCTGTACTCTTGCTCCAGTCTAACGGCTAGATACAAGAAGCTTCGAGTATTTGATGTGCGCCAAGGCTGGCATCAACTCCAGCACAGTCTACAATAGACTGAGCTTCTACAAAAAACTGCCTCGTCAACCGCCGTAGACTACATCGGTACAAGCAACACTGCTGTGAGGCCTTGAGCTTTGCTCGTGGAATAGGTGCTTCATACGGGCAGGACACCACTACCACGTGTTCTCCGATACATGAGGTCTATTGCACACATCGCAAACTCGGCGAAAGCACGGGGAGTGTGTGAGATGAACGACGGACGACGCGACATAGCGGCATCGGGCGGTTCAAAAAGAGGCTTGACTTTACATTTTTCAAAAAGAAGTCCAGACAGACTTCCTGCCGGAAACACCCTGGGTGTATCCCACCTCAACCGGTACATCTTCGTCTCCCTCGTGCGCGGGCATCCTCTTCTCCAGCTTTCACCCACCGCTATGATCCAGTCAGCCTCGCTCTTCTTCGCTGTGTGTTTTGACCAACCCAACCTTGTGTAGAGATCCTTCGTCCTAGTTTTGTTATTGTCGACACGGTTGAAAACGCCTCATGGTCGAGTCGAACACCGCCCCCTGAAGGTAATAGGAAACCTGCGCGCCGCCAGTCCCGGCCCGTTCACGTTCAAACCAGATACAACATCCTCAAGCAGCACACCGCACTCCAGGGCTCGCAAGGAAATAAGGTGTGAGGATCGAGCTGTCGAATAACAAGTGATGCCTACCTGCCTCCCAGCCGAAATTCAGTAGCAGCTGCAAGAACGCACCACCTTTCGCGGTAGATTGGCGAGAAACAGAGGAAGTGTAGGTTTCATTCAATCCATGACTTGAAGACTTAGACTACTGAAAAGACCAGGGTAGTCCTCGGTACCAGTTTTTTTGACGGTACCAAACGGGACAGTAATGCAAAATGACGGTACTTTTTTGACGCTTGACGGTACTTCGTTTTTTGACGGTACCACTTTTGGCGGTCCACGGTACCGCCGAATTTGCCGGTACTTTTTCGACGGTATTGAAAAATGACGGTACTTTTTTCGCGGTTGACGGTATTTCGTTTTTTGACGGTACTTTTTTGACGGTTGACGGTACTTCGTTTTTTGACGGTACTTTTTTGACGGTATTGAAAAATGACGGTACTTTTTTGACGGTACCGAAATATGACGGTACTTTTTTCGCGGTTGACGGTATTTCGTTTTTTGACGGTACTCGTTCGCCGGTACTCCAAAGTGACGGTACTTTTGGCGGTTGACGGTATTTCGTCGTGCCGGGCGGTGATGAAGTATCCCGGCACCGCCCCTGTGATTATGTGATTTCCTGAATAGACACAACGCCACCACGGCATAGATCAAACATTAAATATCAAATTTAATTGAATATCAAATCGTCAAATTGAGAAACTGTCAAACGGAGCAGCCTCACGCGAACGCAACAACAGAAAACGTGACATGTGAAATCCAGGTGGTGAAAACATGCCACACGAAAAAAAGAACAGGAAACAAGGTAACAAGAAAACCTGAAGAAAACAGACGGACAGATCGATGCGATCGAAAAACAAAACAGGAACATGCCAAGACCAAAAGAAAAACAAAACAAAGATATAAGATATAAGTAGTCGACTCTTACACTTTTACCTCCCTCTGCCCCATGCAAGCCTAGACTCCTGCTGTCAGCCGTCACCCATAGCCACTTTCGTCTACAAGCAAAGGTCAACTGTTTGGTTCGCCCTCTCCTCCTGAGCAGCCATCGAGCTCTGTGCGACCTTAGTTTTCGCAGCTTTCGCCTTCACGACTGCAGCGTCCAGCTCGCGGACTTCGGCAACCAAGTGCCTGTTCAGCCTGATGAACATCATGCGCTCAACCTTGCTTGGAAGCATGTTGCAGCGTAGTTGGCCGATCAGGTGAGCAAGCGCTGAGAAATTGCGTTCGGCCTGACAGCTGGTGGCCTCGATCCCGAGGTACAACCGAGCGATGAACGCTAGGTAGGGCATTTCTGCCGGAGATGTGACCTTGCCAGTCGTCGCGGACACGCTGTCAGTGCCCCGCCTATTCCAATACCCCAGAACGTTGAAACCATCGACATCGAGCTGTGGATTTTCGGCCAGGTACACCAAAACCTCCCGTTCGATCAGCACGCGCCGGGTCGTGGAGGGAGACTGGTCCTCGAGAGAACCGGTCTCATCGCCGCCGGTGGTAGCTGCCGCCACACGTGCCGCGCGCCGTTCCTCCAATCTCGAGAGCTTCTTCTTCTTGGGTGCGGGTTCCACCCGGTCGAGGTTCATTACTGGTGCTGGCGCTGGCGCCGCCGTAGCCGGCCCGACGTCAAACTTGGCGATGACCGCTTTCAAGTCGTCTTCGGCCTTCTTCCTGAGATCTGCAGAACCGTTCTCGAGTTGGTCGCTGTCAAGCGACCTTAGCCTCGGGTCCATCAACGCGGACAGACGCTCCACAGCAACCTGAGCGCTCCCCACCCCCTTTTCTCTCATCTTTTCCTGCAGCACCTCAAGCACGCACTGCGCCTCCGCGGTCAGGTCCATAACCTGAGTGTCGTCCGTGGGGATGCCTTCCGGTGGGAGCGGCATGACAGTGGCGTTCGGCTGTCGGATTGGGTGGGTGTCCTCCCCCAGCATCTCGATCAGCTCGTGTAGGATGAACATCGCCTGGCCGACATGCGTATCGACGGACCCTTGCATCCGTATGGTGACCTCGGAAACGTCGCTCAGGAGGCTGCACACCTCGTTGGTGATGGTCCACTCGTTCGGTGTCAGCTTGCGCTCGTTCTGGGGGTATTTCTTGAAATACTCGGAGATGGGCTTCTTCAAGGCTAGGACACGGTCCATCATCTTGAACTGGCTGGTCCACCTTATCATGGGGACACAAGTCGTAAAAGGCAAAAGGGAACATCGTGAGACATCGGAGAGTGGAGGTGGGGTCGGTTGAGCACGGTGAAGCTGTCCAGTTGTTTCATTGTTTTAAACTTTAAATTTTAAATTTTAATTTTTTAATTTGCAGTTTCGCCACAAATCGCAAATCGAAAAAGATATGAACTCCTCACTCCTCACAAATTACAAATTATAAATTGTAAATTACTGCAAGTTACCTCGTGTCGTTCGGCCTGAGAAGCTCGTAGATGCGCGAAAAGCCCTCTTCTAGCCTCTGGAGTTCCTTCAGCTCGTCGTTGTTGACGGCGGAGTGGCTGAAGACACCAACCATCGCTGCCAGCTTCTTCATGAGTGTGCCCATCGCTGGGTTCAACCTCCCTTTCCCGGCAATGCCCAACGCCCACACGACTGCGGTGTTGAGGCGGTGGCAGTTGCACTCGACCACCGTAACACCCAACGCCGTACACGCGTTGATGATGTTCTTTCCTTGATCCACCGTAAACGCGAGGAAGACGTCCGAGGGCTGTACAGACTCGCCCATGAATCCCGAAAAGTACTCTAGCGTGAGCTGCGAATTGCGGGACGTGACGACAGATGGGACATGATTAAGAAGTACGAATAATAGCAGTAAACACGTGAAAGTAGGAACTTTATTTCTATGTAAGAAGCACCTGGTTATCCGATACTCTATTATATATTATTTATTATATAGTTGTCCACTGGTGTTCGAATCCGCGTGTGTTCATATTTTATTTTTTATATTTTCTTTCTCTCAAGACACGATTTCAACAAACTAGTTTCAAGAAACAAGAAACGACAAACACAAAAAAAACACAAGAGCAACACGCGACAGCAATCGTACATGCAGCCACGAAACAAAATCAATGCGCCTCACCTTCTCAATCCAGGGTTGGATATCCTCGGCAGTGTGGCTCCCGGGAAACGCTCGTGCCGCAAGCGCGATGCGGGTCATGTCCGTATCGCCCTTCTTCACGAACGTTACGGTGAAGGTGATGTATTCCTCGCCGGCCGCTGTTGTAAGATCCAGCTGGGCACCAAGGAAGGGTCCCGAATACCCCATGCCGAGGTTCTCCTCTCGTAGCGTCCGCAACTCGCCCACGACGGATGAGAGCACCGTGCCGTAAAGCTCGTCCAAGGTCTGGTTAAACGTGCTCTTCGCCATTGTGGTTGTCACGTACTCCGGGGACAGAGACCCCAAGAAGAGCTTGAAGCCTTGGTCGAACCGCAGTTGCTCCGGCCTCAGGTCGATGCAGCACCAGAGGACGAAACGGCGGTCGGCAGCATCCTTCCGTGCCTTGGTCATCGTCGGCACCATGTAGTT